TTTTTTTTTCGATAAATAAATTTCATAAGTTCATCAATATTGAATACAGGTGGTCATAAGAACTTCAAAATGGCCCTAAAGTGCAAAAAAAAAAACTGGCCTGAAAGCCAAAGACAGAATTGCAATGAAAAGACATGAAATCGCTGAAATAGCCAAAAACAACAACGACAACTTTATTCTAGGCAGGCTTGCTGAAACTCCTCAAACTCACTGGAGGTTTTAAAACACTCTTGCCCTGCGAGTTTAGCCAGCCCTCACCTCGAGTGAGTGGCGGCAGGAATATGGAAGAAGTAAACAAAAACTCCTTGTGAGAGAGAGGGAGAGTGAACTTCAACGAGAGGATGATTCGATCAGGGGTTTGACATATAGCTGAATACACGTACTCAACATCAAAACAACAAAACATATCATGGTACCGCTGACAACGTTGCAGATGTTCGGTACGCAGCAAACTTAAGCGATATGACAGCCATATCCATCCCCTGGATTCGATTCGAGACTCCGGATGCCTTTTTTGTTCGACGCAAGAAGCTCAGAGTTCACCCAGAGTGAGAGTAAGAGCGTGTGATAGAAAACATGAACATGAATGGCAGTAAACCTCACTCTCATTTTATCCCCCTTCGCTCACAAGCTCTGAAGCTCAGTGGAATGATTTGGCAGTAGGCATTCTACTCAAGAAAATGCTACGCTCGGCTCATTTCAAACTCGCGAGTGAGGCTCCAAAACAGCCTTATGTGCGAAAATGATCCGAAAACACTAATAGAGTAGTAGAAATGCATGAGTAGTATTAAACGACAAAGAATATAAGTGGAGGAATATCTTATTTTAGTTACATAAAATGTAATAAACATTACTCCTAGCATATTAATAATTCAACTTGTTGCTTCTTCTTCTTCTTCTTATTCGCATTTCAAGCTTATTGCTTAGCGCATATTAGCTTATTGCGTGCTCTCAACTTAGTGTTCTAAATGCACTTCCACAGTTATTATTGAGAGCTTTCGATGCCAATACCAATGCATGAATTTGTATATTGTGTGGCAAGCACAATGATACTCTATGCCCAGGGAAGTCGAGAAAATTTCCAACCCGAAAGATTCCCTCGACCGGACCGGGAATCGAACCCGCCGCCTCCGGCTTGGTAATACCGTGCCTTTACTGACTAGGCTATGAGGCCCCACTTGTTGCTTATCTTCTCTATTTTGCAGGAAAAATATACATTTTACTGTTGGACCTATACTTTTATTGATAAATTTTCCCCCATCTATCGGAACCCCGGTATTTGATATTTCTTATTCCTATAGTCATGCTTGGCATGCACAGTTTTACACACCAACTGCTCATTTGTTAATAACTTTTCACTTAGTTGTTGAAATTTATTTTTCTTTTAAGTAATTGATAGATTAGGATCCAAGTTTATTATAGATATGCAAAAAGTAGGTAAATCTTTACATTTGAATCAACACCAATGATTGTTTAGGCTTAAAGTCCTAGATGTGCAGTGAGCATTTCTCACTTCATTTTTACAAACAAATACAGTATATTAATAGAATTAAAATCTACTTTTTTACGTATCTATAACAAGCTTATACTCTGTTCCATATACTGCTTCAAAAAGAACTATGCTTCGTCAATTGTGTGCAAAGTGATTAGCAAATTAGCAGTTCGTGACCAAAACTGTGTATTCCAAGCATACCTATAGTTGCGATAATGACTGGTTAATGTCACGCCATCACCTTTTCAGACTGCGGTAATGACCTTTTAATACTAACCATAAACTAAAAACGCAAAAAGTTAAAAAAAAAATGTCAATCTAACCTGGAAAACGCCTTGAAACCTCAAAATACCAAATATATTTTCGAGTTCCTAGGGTATAGAGTATCATTGTGTTTTCCATAGAACCTTATTGACCAAGATAGTTAAATTTTGAAATAGAACAGCAATACTCACTCACTTTTCTAGGCGATGGCTGAACAGATTTTAGCGCAATTGAATCGTTTTTATTTATATTTTGGCGTCATGGAAACCAATTAAATTTCATTGCGATTGGACATTTGGTTCCAGAGAGATAACCAAAAACCCTAATTAATCCACCAACCAGCGACAAGTGCCTTTCTAGAAGATTTTCGACATGATTGAAGTGCATCCTCTTGGATGTAATATTAAAATTTATTTTTTGCGCTGCAGTTCGCAAGGCGTATCGCAAGGGGTAAAGGTTAAATTAGGTTTTCTTTATTAGGGAGGCTTTCAGCCTGGGGCTAGTTAGCCTCCGCTCTGATGAAAATTTTCACAACTATTCTTATCGATAATTTCAGCTAAAACTTTGCGAAAGATCGTTTTTTAGCCAATCGCCAAATTAAATAGTTAATAATTATTTTAGTGATTGATAATCTTATGACATGATCAAGCAGCTGTTTTGTGGGAAACACTTATTGTGCAGTGTGATATGATTTTTGTGCTCTATTCCATGGTCCAGAAACACCAATGCACAGTGGTGCAGGATGAGAATTCAGCTGGAAAGTAGTCCTAGAACTTTTGTTTTAATATTTAGACATTGTAGGTGTCTTCGGCGAAGTTTTTGTGCTTGAAAATTCCGTTATTTTTCGTGGTGACAACATTAGGCTTTAACTTTTCTCAACTAAAATTTCTCATGAAAGTTGTCTCCGAAATACTTTTGAATCTTCAAATGTCGCAAGTTTCTTAATGAAAAAAAAAGTATTTATCTATTTTTATAAAGAAGTTATACCCAATTATATTATTATAAAGGAATGCATTCAAACTGATTTGATAGAAGTAAATAAAATTAAAGATCTTTATTTTTTGTATAATGTACTTAAAGTTGTTCCCTTTTAAATACTGGCATGAAAACTTGTGTGCATTTGCTCCATGCTGTGTAATGACCATTTGAAAAGGACATATTTTATAAAGAAAATCGTTAATATCACGGACCTTCAAGTGATATCGATTTACTTTGTTCTGCAAAAAATGTGCATTTTAACAAATTCTAAAGGATACTCATTTTTTTTTCCTTGTCGGGTATTTTCATCACTGCGACCATTTTTCTGATCTATTGTGATATATTCCCCATTTTTTTTCTTTAGCTATATCAAGATGCCGTATCACTATTATTAGGAGTGATCGCCATAGTTTGACTAATAGCATTATCCCAGCACGGCATTATACTTCGAATAAAGTGCACTGCCGTACTGGGAGTTGTTCTCCAAATGTCAAAGGGTTCTATCAGCCCCTTGTCGAAGAACTTACGCCTTTTATTGAAAATTGCCGGACAGTGGCATAGCAAATGTTCCGAGTCTTCCTTTTCTATGCCACAGAAGCGACACACATCATCTTGAAGTTTTCCAATCAGCTTCAAGTGATAACGGCTCGGACAATGACCTGTTATAAGACCTGCATATATACTAAGATCTTTCTTAGAAAGTTCCAGGATTTTGTGGGTCACAGAAGAAGGATACTCATAGGTGACCTTCTCAAGAAATTTTAAACAAAAAATTTAGATTTAAAAAACTAAACTTTTCAGGTACACTCTAGTATAATTCTGAAAAATTACTCTAAAATGAGAACTAAAAAATGTTGTTCATCAAAGTTGCTTAAAATTACTTCAGCTACATCTCATATTATGTCTTTTTCTTTTTCCAAAAATAGTTAGTTTTTGAATACCAATTTATTTAAGGGCTTAGGTGTTAAATATGTACATATGTTTGACATTTTTTTAATCATAATTCTCAAAACTTGAATTGTAATTTTGCTTACCATTTCAGGAGCCAGTTAGTAATGGTACTTAGCTCAGGACATATCGCAAATTAAAAATCTCAAAATTGCGGTTTTTAGAAAAATCTTGAAAAATTTGAAATGATTTTAACCTTGCGGTTTCTCATTTTTGTTATGATTGTATATCGAAGATTTCTTGACGGCTAACCAATAATCAATTTTAGCCACAGAACAGATTTAATAAATCTGTATAAGCTGTCCTGCAGCTTAAATTGTTAATTGGGTAATCACCTCCAATTCATTAAACTACACACATTGTTTGTTTTTCTGTAGCAAACAATCGACGTTGGTACGTTTATCTTCCTGAAATATAAAACCCACAATTACCTCAAATCATGTGCCTGTTTATTTATTTTCAAATATCCATGTATTTTTATTTTCAAATGTATTATGCCATTTGTAAGAAAGTATAATTTGTCAATATCTACGTCAGTGTACTCATCAACTTGAAAGAAACATGCAATGCAGCAGCATGCAATATTTCAATAAACATCCACCGACAAAAACACATTTTCTCCGAAAAAAAAAAAGTTAACGGTTCCTTGATTCTTCGAAAGACAGCCTTCATCGACGCTGTTAGCTTTGCTATGCGGTACGTCTAGGTTAAAATTTTACCTTCATTCCGTATACATGCACATTTTGACCGCTACGTAGCCCATATCACAAAAAGACTGTAATTATTGCTTGATGCCTTCTTTTTTTTCGGTGTACAATGCTTGCCCCGTGGCGCATTATCTGTGTTCCTCTGCCCCCTTCCCGACAAGGCGGAAATCTAATCAATAGAGATTAAAATCGGATGCACGTTTTCTCATCAAGCTGTGCCAGTACCTTCGCTCGACGATCATCAAGGAAGAACGTTGAAATCTTAGATGATGGATTCTTCTTCACAGTCGCAATCAGAAATGAGGTCATACACTCGTGGTGGTATGAGATTTTCCACCTCGCAAGCTAGCTAGCAGTTCCGCTTTATGTTAGGTAACTATGCCAACGAAGAAGGTTCAACGGAGCATGGCAAACTGATAAAAAATATTACCGCACAGCGCTCATCGTTTTGCGAATTGCGAAACAAGATCTAGTCTATAACTTAACCAAACTGCCTGCTAACCTCCGATCAAGGAACTTACGGTAATAACATTCGATATCTTCGAAATTTCACACACTTCTGTAGAACTGACAAAACTCGAACGGTGAGCATTAGACACGATCATACTTACTTTCTCCGGTGTTGGATGGCTCCAGTGTCCAGAGTTGTTTTTTCTTTAGACTAGCTCCGTTGGCATTCAGTTTGTAACCGAAGGTTTCGGCCGTCATGTACTTGTATTGGCCATTGATTAGACCGATGGTCCACCAGCCTTTCTGCTGATTTTGTGATAGGATATCACCGTTCGTGTTGATTTCGTAGCTTGAGCCATTCATATTTCTGCTACTGTTGCGCTCCTCTCTAGTGAAGTTGGTGCTGTTGGCTCTATCGGCGCTCCAGAAATTCTCCTCTGCAAAAACACAAGCATCGAAAGAGAAAATGGATTATTATAACATTTCTCTGGGGTTTTCTGTGTGTTTGGTATGTAGAGCATATGATGGGATTGGAAAGCATCTCGAACAAGGCTGGGAGAGAGAAGCAAAAACTGGTTGGCCTTGCATATAAGTGAAGATCACAAAGGCGTAAAGCGTAATGGTACTCATTATGGTAATTTACGAGAAAATTCATAGATTTTTTCAATACTGTTCTGCATTCACGTGTAAAACAAGATAGGTAGCTAGACTTACATGCCCTTTAACTTTAAGACGTGTATAAGATATTGGATTCTCATTAAGTGAACAAGTATCTCCATATTTCAGGCAAGCGCAAAATTTAGAAGAATAGCCTTTGTTTTTTCAAAACACATGTTACAAATTCAGAATCATGGAACTGCTTTTTTTTAGGTATTGCTGCTCATGGTGACGTTTTCTATAGTCTTGTACTTCCGTCCATTAAACCGACGTATGCATTCTAATAACCTACGTCGTATAAATAGGGCGTATCATAACAATACATCTCATTGGAAATTCATCGTTTGTTGGCACCCAAAGGATGTTGTCTGGTTTGAATTGAGAATACGTAATTTTTATTATCGCTACCTGAAGTCATCCCTCGGCAGTAGTAAGCACACCATAGTAATAATCGTCATAAAGAAACTGTCAAATGGCGAAAGTGCTTGATTATAAAGCGATCACAGCTCGTTACTGACCTGAACAATGGCCGTGGCTTCGATAAAAACTTTGCTGAACGATATTTTTTTCGTTCTAGTGTTAATATGCTTTTTTTATATAATATATTGATCGTGAATACCGTGTTTGCGGCTGGCTGTACACTGGGAAGCATACACACTGCGGCAATAAGTTTTTCTTGTGATGTCACATGAACTGAAACATAGAAGATTAGAAGATATGTACACGCAAAACAAATTTCTCTTGCATCCAATGTAAGGTTAGATTTATTACATCTTTTGCATATGTTTTTGTTCTAGTTCTTGCAATGGACTACAGCGTACAAGTAAGGTTTTCCAGAATGCATATTTTTGTATGAAACCTTCACGAGATGATTTTCTAACAAAAAAAAATACAGAAAACCTTCCGGCGACTACATTACAGAATCTGTTCATGTTGCGAAACATTGCAAATTCTGCATAGTTTTAATGCAAATCTGTAATAAAAGCAGGGTGCCTTCCATTCATTTTGACTAAAAAAATGTTTTAAGAAATTATGGAATAATAAGATATTATGAAAATATTTTGATTATGTAAACAACAAGAAAAGATTGTTAAGTTTGTGTTTAACACATAATTCCTGCCAATTTTGCTACATGAGAGACGCAATAAGCGATTTTGTAATTTATCTCACCCACTCTTCGCGAAGAGGCGATCAGAAAAACGCTCATTGTGACTCTGTCAAAGCTAAATTTGCAGGTTTGATGGGTGAAACACAAACTTTACAATTTTTTCTTATTACTTACATATACAAAATATCATCATAATATCTTATTATTCCATAATTTCATAAAACATTGTTTTAGTCAAAATGAATGGAAGGCACCCTGAATAAAAGTTTACATTTCCCGGTTGGGTGCAGAAGCAAATTAAATTGATAAACGATTATAAAAGAAGAATGCTATAACAAAAAAAGTTCAGCCCGGCACCGGCACCCAGGATCCTATTTTCTCCTTTAGCTGCACGCGGTCGCCGATACATTAGCGAAAAGAGAACAAGTGCAAGAAATACGGCAAATCCGCATTACCATGGCTACGGTGAGCAACATTTTGTAACGGTCAAGTTAATGACCATGTAAATACAGCCGTTTTTGTCTTGATGTTGGGCAAACACAAATCTCACAGCATGCTGCGAAAGATCAACGGCTCTACCCACCTGGTTTGCGATCGCGAATGTGTTCAGTTCACATGTGCAGATTACGGCAGCACAGCAGCAGCCGCCTTACAGCATTAAATCAAAGGGTGCGTTGATGACTTTGCATAAGAAGAAAGTTGAAAGTTTGATTTTAACAAAGCGCTATTGTGTTCAAGTAGCAACGCGCAAGAGAAGAAAATTGCAGATGGAGATTCGTGAACTGTTTGCACCTTCGTTAGCAAGATAAAAAAAGTAACAGCTGTGTTCCGCCCAGTAGGCAACTCATCATCCTTTATGTCTCGAAAAGGTATGCACAAACTCATTCGAGCGAAAAGCATGCCGCTATTTTTGCGAAAATCCAAGTGCCGTTTCTCGATGGACTATGTATAAATATTATCTGCACAGCCGGTACCGTATATATCATCAGCACTCAAACGTCTATCAGAGCTTCGAATGATTGGTTCAATTAGTATTCAGACCACGGCAATCAATTTCTGATCACCTTGGGTAGCGGACTGATGTGTCCAGCAAAACATTTTATTCATACTGTTTGTGGTGATAATAGTGATAATAAGCATGATGATGTTCCTATAATAAAAAAATTACTGATATGCATTCTTGTGAATACATGTTGTTGCATTGCTGTCAAATAGAAGCAGGGATATGTTGTCTTGATACGTGGTAGTGGATTTATCACATTTACATTATGCAAGTACGCAGTCATATTTTGGCACAGGTAATTAAAAAAAATAATTACCGCTCGGAAAAAATAACCATAAAATAAAATACAATTACAACGAAATCTTTTGTCACTAATCAATCTTATTGTACGTATATCGAACAAAAAATTTTAACAATAGATGTAAAATACGTCCCATATAGTAAAAGTTTTCAGCAATAGAACTACAATAGAATTAATGGTAAATGGCTCAAGATTGTTCCAGAAAAAATGATTTTTCGTATGGTTAGGATATATTGGAACCGCCTTATTCTATTGTAGATTTCCTCATTTACATGCATCATGCAGCTCCACTAAATAATCGTGACTTGTCATTACTATATTGAATAGATTTTTTGGCTATGCGGAAAAAATAATGTGTAATAATTTTTTGAAAAATCAACATTTGATGCCTCAAGCCTCCAACGAGACAAATTTGATATTTTGTCCTTGTAAGCAAGATTTCTTCCATTCACTTCCCTATAAAACATATTTTTCTTAATTATAAAACCATTAGATTGTATAATGATATTTTGTAATTGTTACAATATGAGGTTGTAAAGTATGTGTTGGATACATAAAACCTGCCAATTTTACTTTCAGAGAGTCACAATCATTCCTGAGCGCTCATTCTGCGTCTCACGAATCAGTTTTATGTGTCAAAAACATACAACCTCTTCTTGTAACTTACAAGTACACAATATCATTATAACATCTAATGATTTTTTTCCTTGATTTGTTTTCCGTAGATCTTGTTTTCCGTACTGAATACCAATGCTACCGACGCCATGAAGGCAGCTCCCACACCTGGACCCTACCTATCGACCCATCAACTCATGAACCGGGGACCAACGGCTTTACTTCCCATCCGAAGGAAGGCGTGATCAGAGATGTTATGCCTCAGAACATCCCAGCGACGCCGACTGAGATTGAACCCAGGCCTGCTGGGGCGAGAGGTAATCACGCTTACCACTACACCACCGGCGCCGCTATTCCGAAAAACGTTTTTTTATAACGAAGTGAGTGTTTACTTGGATATACAGTAATGACCCAAATTTGTCAGCGCATCAGACTTTTATCATTCAATAATTTCACATATCCGTAATTTATTTATTTTTTCTCATTCATCTTTAAGATAGATGTTTAAGGTTTTCTTTGGTGCCATCAGATTAATGGAAAAGCGTATGGGTTTCGTAGAATATTATAAAACATTCTCTAAAAGTAGGTTGACAAAATCGGATCATTACTGTATAATGTTTTTATATTCTTGAAAGCTGTTTAAAACGATATAATCTGTAAGTTTGCTGAAGATCTAAACGTTCTATCTTGTAGTACCATCGAATTCTGAGATCAAAATGTATATTCAGTGTTGAAAACTTTCTAAGCACCGAAAATTCAGTAGCCACATGGGGAAGCAAATTATCTTTCATAAAACCAGTCCATTCATAGCTTTTCAGATAACACATTTTACGAAAACTTTGCATATTTTACATATATTTATACATACAGTAATGTTACCTTTAATAGTTCATTGACATACATCTTGCAGAAGAGTGTCGCTTAAATTTTAAAATTACCGCTTTTGTCATGGATGACTTTATGGCATAAAGGTTTGTTTTTCGGAATTTACCTGAGAGGTGTACAAATTAACACAGATAAGGTTTGCAGTCGAGTAGAAAAAGTTGTATTCAATTCACAAAAAGAAAATTTGAATTCAGACATCAGCATCGGTCATGTCGGCAGATTTTTACTCGGTTTATTTTTACAAAATATAACCCGATGTGTTATTTCTGAAAAATCCAAACTTCCACTATTGTACATCGAAGCATTTTGGAGTAATAGAACATTTTTGAAAACTGATTATTATATCCTTTGCGAAAAATATTGGTGTTCTTATGTATTTTGAGAATTGTGTATTTAGAGTTTTAAATTTAAGTAATCGTAAGTTAGCAGCACTGCATATATAATCAGTGTTGGATAAGTTCACAATATTTCACGAAGTTCTCCAAGGGAAAAGTTCGCGAGTTATAGTGATTTTTTGCTACCTTTTCCATCACTGCATATAATCTTATATAGAAATCGATTGTATTAAAAGATTGATAGTTCAGGTCTTCCACATTCTTACCGATTTTATTTTTTAACTCACATTTTGACCTTTTTCCAAAAAAATTGCAGAAAACATATTTTTTAGTCCAGAAACCGTTCACTATGCACATAATGCGAGAAAAAAAGAGTAAAAAAAATTACCAAATATTTATGTTCTAAGGTTTTGGTAAATTTTTAAGTGTCCTTTTCAGAAAAGTTACCATTTTTGATAACATTAGTTTAAAAGCATTATTTTTTTGTTATTGAAGTTTCTAACAGTTTTTTTTTTGTGATTTTTGACGAAAAT